CCCACTCACCAGCTGTGCGGCCTTGGCCGGGTGACCTTGAACCTGGTCCCCTCAGCTGCTGGTGGCAGTCATGGTGGCTGCCTGCATAGGGCTGTGTCGGGGACCCAGTGGAGAATGCCCGGGGCCTGATTCTAAATTACCGCAAACTTCCTCTGGTCATTGCTGGTCACAGCCCTGTTCCCTGTTCCCTCAGCGCTGCATTCCCCTGGGGGAGCAGCTGCAGGCGGTTCTGGGGAGCGCTGCCTCCAGGCGGATGCTGGGCCTGTGGGCCTCGGCGCCCTCGGGAACCTGCGACAGGCCGACCTGCGCACCTGTGCCTCTCAGAGCCGGGCTGACTCCGGGACGCGGGACAGAAGACGTGACAGCTCCCGGGGAGGAGGACGCACGGCCCCCCGGGGGAGGGAACCCCGCACCCCTCGGAGAGTGGGACACTGCACCCCAGAGCCATCCTCTTCCCGGGAGGGACCTTCAGCTCGCAGCGGCGTCTTCCTTACCAAAGAGGCCGAGCGACAGGCCTGCGGCCCCTGCCCCCGAGCTGCTGCCCCTCCTCCAGGACGTGTGCGGGCAGGTGCGCCGGCTCCGTGGGGCTCAGAGCGCCGCGTGGCCGGGACACGTCCCCACGCCCAGCGAAGGCGGCCTTGGTGGTGGGTAAGTCTTTGCCTACGGACTCAGAGCGGGTGAGGGGCTGCATGGGAAGCAGCAGGCTGTGTGTTGCTGCTGGTTGTCTAGTGGCTTTTGTTGCCGTTTGGAGGCCAGGGTCATGTTTGGTCTTTAATTCCCTTTAGGATGGGAGAGCCGCCCGCCTGCTCCTACTTGGAAAAGATTCTGTGTAAGAACCTGGAGCTGATGGAGAGGAGGCTGACGGACTACCTGGACGAGCGGCTGCGCGCCCTGCAGGAGCACGTGGATGGCAAGGTGGCGCTGCTGGCGCACCTGCTGCAGAGCCCCGGCTCCCCGCCCCCGGGGCTGCCGCTCACACGCTGTGACTCTGGGGACAGACTCTCCAACGGAGAGAGATAGGCGCTCCCGTGCGCCGTGCATGCAGATATTTATTACCTATTTATTACAACGCGACCCAAAGCTCCCAGCCAGTGTCGATGTCATTGGAGGATCAGCATCCTACTTGCATCAAGTGACCTCAGCGTTCATTCCCTGTGCTGTTTCGTGACCCCCGGGCTGCATGAGAGTGGATGATCTTCCCTGAGCTTGTCACGTGACCTCGTGCCACACCTGAGAGTGGATGACCTTCCTTGTGCTTGTGACGTAAACCCCGTGTCTGAGTGTGAGCGTGATCGGGTCCAGAGTTATTTTCGTTTGCAGAGTTCATACTTCTGTGTTTAAATCTTTAAAATATTTAAGGATTTCTACTATAGTTCTTTGGTGTGTATTGTGTATGTATTTGAAGTATGCACTGTTTTAATTTATGTAAAGGCGTTATATTTTAGGTATATAGGGGAAATGGTTAGAGTATTTGGGTTTTTCTTTTCCTGATTGTTCTTGGAAAACCAGGTACTTAAGATTTGCAGCCTTTAATTTCATATCACAGGTTATATTTTATATTGTTCTTCTCAGTAAGAAATTAGTTGTGTTTGGCATTTGTAAAATTAGTGTCCATCGGGGCCATTCGTTTTATGTTCTTTCGTATTGTAGTTGTAGAACGAAAGTAAAATTAAAACTGGCCTCTTTGTCAGAATTATTTTAGATTTAGTGGTTGATGCAAAACGAGAGACTATTGTGCTGTCCCTCCCCCCCGGAAAGCGGGGACCCTCCTTGCCGAGCCGATGCCGGGTCCTCCCGGAGCCTGTGCTGGGTGTGAGTGACGAGGCTCGCACTGGGCGAGGCGTGTGGCGGGCAGATGGCCGTTCTCTGGGGTGGCCCCGCGTCAGGAAGCGTAACCATGCATGTGCTGAGGGTGGTGTACTTGCACTAAAAGTAATTGGTCCGCTCTGGGAGCTCAGTGAAATGGGGAGCGAAGGGGAAATGTTTTGGACAGGATGTCCCAGCACCAGCCTGGCCCATAGGTGCCCAGTACGTGTTGGTTTTCTCTCCCTCTTTCTGCTCTTCTGTTCTGTCTCCTTAGACAGGAAGAAGGGCAGGTGTCCCAACACCATTACTGTCCCAGTAAATGTGAAAGTCCCTCTCCCCTCCCCTCTGCTGTCTTGGTGCTGAAGGGCCGTCACATTCAGTCAGCACAGTTGTGTGCACGGAACGCTGAGGGCTCACTCTGAGGAGTGCCATCCTTGGGTGGTTTCATCCTTGTGTGAACAGAATAGTGCACCTCCACACGTCTGGACGGTACCTCCTGCTGCACACCTGGGCTTCATGGTCCAGCCTGTGGCCCCTGGCTACACGCCTGCGCAGCGTGTTCCTGTGCAAAACAACATGAGACAAAACCAAGCGCAAGAGAATGATGCAATCAAGAGATTCCGTAAACAACATGCATGAGTCTGCTGCCCGTGTGACGTGGCTGCTGTTTTGTATCCAACTCTCTTTAAAGTAGAAAGAGCACATCCTAAAATAATGATTGCAAGTATAATACAGGCCCAGCTGGAGTGCTCAGTGCTGGGCGTGGACCCAGGAACCAAGAAGTCACGGTTTGATTCCCAGTCAGGGCACAGGCCTGGGTTACAGGCTTGATCCCCTGTGTGGGACTTGCAGGAGGTAGCAGATCCATGATTCTCATCATTGATGTTTCTATGTCTCCCTCCCTGTTTCTTTCTGAAATCAATAAAAATATATTAAATAAATAAGTTTAGAAAACCAAGATGGCGGCATAGGTAAACACCTGAAATTGCTGCCGCAAACAACCACTTCAAAAATACAACTAAAAGACAAAATGGACATCATCCAGAACTACAGGAAGGCTGGCTGAGTGGAAATTCTACAACTAGAAGGAAAGAGAAAAGCACACAGACTCAGGAGGTGCGGAAGTAAAGTACAGAGTTACGGAGGCGCACGCGTGCGGAAAGGGCTGGCAACGGAGGACGCAGTTGTGTTTTTCAATCGGAAGAGAGTCTCAAGCTCCTGATGGCTCTGAACTCCAGTTCCGGGCGAGTCTCTGGGGACCCAGACTCATACAAGGAGAAACTGGACTGTCTGACAGCGGGCAGAACTCGAGGGCGGCTTTCTCTCAGAGGTGCTTGCCACGACTACTGGGACACTGAGACCCTGGGCCTCTTAGGGCAGGACTGAGGACCAGCCATAGCTGCCTGCTCCGCCCTGTTGATTCCCAGAGACCCCGCCCCACCCAGGCTTCGAGCAGAGGCTTTTGCATATGAATGGGCTGGCCCTTTGAGACCTAAAATTACCTAACAAACTGCAGCTGGGTCAGTGAGTCCCAGAACATCCGAAAGAAGGCTAAAGGCCCCACAGCAGCTTGCATTGCTTCACAGCTGGGCCTCATCTGGGCACCTCCAAACCCCAAACAAGGGGAATCTGTAGATCTCTCCATAGCTCCTGCTGGGTAGCCTCAGGCAGATGCTAAATTACCACCTCTTTAGAGATCCAAGAGCCCGTGTACCCAGTGGTCAGATTGGGACCATCCAGATTACAACTCCTCAGATCCATAAGGGACACACTCAGGGGGCAGACTCAGAGAGCACCAAAGCCCCACTGAAGCAAGACTTGCCCCATAAGGGTGTCTCCAGCACAGAAGTTCTCCCACTGTAGACACAGCTGATTCTCACAGCCAATTGGCCTGGAGGTCAATTCCTCCCAGTGATACCAACAGCAATCATGGCTTAACTACAACAAGACTGTACATATAGCTCACAAAGGGGTCCACCAAGAGTGTCCACCTCCGGTAATTGGGGAGGCTGAGCCACTGGGCCCTATAGGACACCTAGCACAGAAAGCCACTCTATCAACACAGGGAAGCAGCCAAAATGCGGAGACAAAGAGATCACAAATGACAGAAATGGAGGAAAGCAAACTACTGGATATAGAGTTCAAAACCACGGTTATAAGGTTTTTCAAGAATTTTCTAGAAACTGCCGATAAATTTAGTGAAACCCTCGAGGATATGAAAGAGGACCAACTAGAAATTAAGCATACACTGACTGAAATAAAGAATATTATACAGAGATCCAACAGCAGACTAGAGGATCCCAAGAATCAAGTCAAAGATTTGAAATACAAAGAAGCAAAAAATACCCAACCGAAAAAGAAAAAAGAAAAAAGATTCCAAAATAATGAAGATAGTTTAAGGAGCCTCTGGGACAACTTCAAGCGAACCAACATCTGAATTATAGGGGTGCCAGAAGAAGAGAGAGAGCAAGATATTGAAAACCTATTTGAAGAAATAATGACAGAAAACTTCCCCTACCTGCTGAAAGAAATAGACTTACAAGTCCAGGAAGCGCACAGAACCCCAAACAAAAGGAATCCAAAGAGGACCACACCAAGACACATCATAATTAAAATGCCAAGAGCAAAAGACAAAGAGAGAATCTTAAAAGCAGCCACCTACAAGGGAGTACCCATACGACTGTCAGCTGATTTCTCAACAGAAACTATGCAGGCCAGAAGGGAGTGGCAAGAAATATTCAAAGTGATGAGTAGCAAGAATCTACAACCAAGATTATTTTACCCAGCAAAGCTATCATTCAGAATTGAAGGTCAGATAAAGAGCTTCACTGATAAGAAAAAGCTAAAGGAGTTCATCACTACCAAACCAGTATTATATGAAATGCTGAAGGATATCCTGTAAGAAGAGGAAGAAGAAGAAAAAGGTAAAGATACAAATTATGAACAACAAATATGCATCTATCAACAAGTGAATCTAAAAATCAAGTGAATAATCTGATGAACAGAATAAACTGGTGAATATAATAGAATCAGGGGCATAGAAAGGGAGTGGACTGACAATTCTCAGGGGGGAAAAGGGTGTGGGGGTGCGGGAAGAGACTGGACAAAAATCGTGCACCTATGGATGAGGACGGGGGGGGGGTAAGGGCAGAGGGTAGGGTGGGAACTGGGTGGAGGGGAGCTATGGGGGGGGGGAAGAGCAACAACTGTAATAATCTGAACAACAAAGATTTATTTAATAAAAAAATAAGTATAGTGTAATACATCAGTTGATAACATAGACGTTTATTTTCATTATCAAGTACTATGTACTGTACATAGTCATGTGCGCTGTACTTTTATACACCTGGAAAAGCAGGTTTGTTTACACCAGCATTGCCACAAACGTAAATAAATTATGTCACGCCGACACTATGTGATAGGAATTTTTAAGCTTCCTTATCATGTAGATCACCATCGAACATGCGGTCCATTGATTATTTTTAGAGAGTGGAAGGGTGAAGAGACAGAGAACGAAACACTGATGTGAAAGAGACATATGGATTGGCTGCCACCTGGGGCCGGGGAGTGAGCCTGCAACCGGGTTTGTGACCTGGACGGAATCGAACCTGGGACCCTTTAGTCCACGGGCCATGCTCTAACTACTAAGTCAAACCCGCTAGGGCTAGCACTGAACTATTAAGTATTAAGAGTTTTTAGCCTCCCACATTTGTCTTTAATTTTAAAATTGAAATCTTACACTTGCTTTTGATCAACAAATTCTGAAAATAAGGGGAAATACGACCCGAAAAGGTAAAAACTTAGAATTAAGTGATTCAAAATAGTATTTCTGCTTCCTGGGGGCTGAACTCTAAGTACAATGGAACAGAATTCAGAACCCCAGGGCAGAGCCGGGGTGCAGAGCAGTGATGTCACAGCCCGCGGCGCGGAAGTTGGAGCTGGACCATGGCTGGGCCTCTAAAGTGAGCTCTCCAGTCTCGGACCGCACTCCGCACAGGATGAAGCGATAGCTCCCTCCTTCTCCAGTGGCAGGCTCGACCCTTTCGCGGCCTTTGACTGAGTAAGGTCCAGTGTGGTACCAAGTGACGTGTTTGATAAAATAACCTGTTTCCTAAGGTCTTTAAGTAATTTTTTTTTCTAGTTGGCCTCCTCCCTACCCGAGGGTGTAAGTGTTCTAAGGATGCTTGGCAGTCATGTTGTTTTAAAGATGTTTTACTGATTTCTGAGACGAAGGGAGAGGGAGAGAGAGAAACATCAATGATGAGAGCATCATCAATCGGCTGCCCCCTACTGGGAATTGAGCCCGCTTCCCAGGCACGGGCCCTGACCTGGAATCGAACCATCGAACCATTAAGGGATGACCCTCAACAACTGAGCCACACCGGTCGGGCAGCGTCATGTTGTTTATTCTTTCTTCCTGGGCCATGGTTCTCATTTCAATGTTACATTACACAAATTGCTTATTCCAACCAAATTGAATTTCCTGGGAAGATTTGGGAGGAAAAATGGCAGAAAGGCCCATGGTCTCCTAGTGACAGGGTGGTCTAGTGACAAGGGCTCCTAGAGTCTCCTTACACCAGACGGTGGCATGGCAGTGGTCAGAGGACAATGAAAGGCCTTTCTTCCTGAAAACAGCACTGCAAGGGGGTGTGCTCATGCTTAGTGCTGTCAAGCATGGCGTTCGGAAAGAGCCGTTCCCTTCGTTCTGTGCTTGGAATAGGTTTAAGTTTGGTGAGCAGCAAGGGGCAGTCCTGGCTCCATCAGCGAGTAGAGCTCACGAGACCCAGGTGGTGGGAGTGAAACCGTCTGCTCACGGGCGGCCTGTTTGTTACTCACCGCTAGCTGCACGTTACTGCCTGCGAGAGGGAGAACGTCCTTCCCTCCATCTGTCCTGTTTCCTTCTCTCTCACTTTGCATTTCAGTCCCTTTTCATCCACAAATAAAACCTCGACCCCCACGTGGCCAGGCCGGCCGAGGCCCTGGGCCCCCCTGGGAGACCATCCGTGTTTTACAGGCATAGCCTGTGGGTGGGGCGTCATTCTTCCTTCGCGGGAGCAGCACACACTGAGGCTGAGCGGGCTGTGGGCGGGGGAGCGTCACCGCCCTGCACTCCCTGTCCAGGTGCCGGGAAGATGTTTGACATCAGGATCATGACGGCCATCGGGGTCGCCTTGCTGATCGCCATAGTCCTGCTGATGTTCTGTGTCACCAGCCTTCTGTTCAAACTGACCAGCATATTGAAGTAAGTGACGTGGTTAGAGTGGCCACTCCCTCACACGGGCCCCTGGGCTGAGCTGGAGCAGGGCACGCCCTGCCCTGGGCCGCCCCCCGGGGTCAGGAACAGGGCAGCTGGGAAAAGGCAGAGGCAGGTGAGCATGGAATCCTGGCCCTTCCCCTCGGGGCCGGGCTGTGAGCTCACAGTGAGGTTCCCAGCGGGCGGGCGGCTCTGGGTCAGTGCTGTCCGCTGCCCGGGCCTCGGGGAGCTGCCCCTCCACGGGGACTCACACCCTGGCCGGCCCTGTCCGTGTCCCGGACTCTGCAGACAGGACCGCGGGGCAGGCGCGTGGGAGCCTCTGCCTCGGTTCGCCCAGAGGCGGGCTCGGTCGGTCTCCCCAGCCCGAGCTCAGAGCTCCCGGGTTCCCTCTTCCATCGCCCATGGCCTTGGGGACAGGGAGGTGCCTGTAGGCGTGGGGAGCCGAGCTGGTGAAGATCCGGGGACACCAGAGGAGGAGGGGAGCTCAGGCAGGTCATTCAGTTGGGGGGAGAGGACCCTTCAAATGTGGGAGGTTCGCTGGCAGAAGCCGTGGAGCTCCTGTTCTAGGGAGGGAGGCTGTGCACTAGGTCAATCCAGAACCCGGGGCAGCTGACGGGCGCCTGCCCCCGACCCGGCCTCCGCAGTTGGGGCCTCAGCCGCTGGGGAGCCGCACTGGCAGCCCCTCTCCCTTTGTGCTGGGTCTGGCCTGGCATCTCTGGCGTCTTGGAGAGCACGTGACCCAGGAGCCTGGGCCAGGGCAGAGCTTTCCTCTCAGGCTGGGCCGCCCCAGACCCCCGGCACCCTGACCGCGGGCACAGGCGGGCTGAGAGGGGATTCTAATCCCTCCTGTGTGTGTCTTTTCTAAGAGCTCCAAAGCTACCGATGTGCTTGGTCTTAAAAAGTTACCCGTCCATGGTCACCAGGGACAAGATCGCCGCAGCCTCGTCCATCACGGCCAGCTGCTACCCTGGCCTCCAGCTGTATGACGAGTGTCAGCTGTGCGCTGACTCCAAGGCCCTGCCGCCCGGCTTCTGCGACGTGAGCGAGGGGCTCTGACCGGCGGCCCGGCGCCTGCAGGGCGACCTTTCTTAGCAGAATGTTTTATTCGAGTCGTGTTCTAGTGTTCCCACTGTGCTATGTGCTACAGGACATTCGTGTGCTTTTGAATAAATGCAGAATTGAAAACACCCGGTCCGCCTCGGGGATGTTTGGTGTCGTTAGGGAGCCATGCACTGGAATTGGGCATCACCCACGTTGGGACGTGGAGCAACCGGCTCGTAATGTCGCGTGCAGCATAGGCGGGCGGGAGTAAGAACTAGAAAGGCGCGTCGGCGATTTGACAGGAGGCAGCACCGTGCCAGGCGCTGGGGATGGAAACTTCTTATCCCGGCCGCCTCGGGGAAGGGAACGCCGTCTCCGAAGAGACACGTTTCCTGGTGCGAAGCTCTGCCCGGGTTGTTGCGTGGAGCCCCGCTGAGACCCGGAATCGGTCCTTCCATTTGCACTCTACGAGGATCAGGACGCATCCCCAGCCGTGGCCTGTGCTGACCGGAGGGCCCGCCGTCCGTCCAGGCGTCCGTCTCCCCCCCAGCCTGGAGCCTGACTTGAGCTCTGAAGGGACAAGGTTTCCAGGGGGACCCTCCCCTGGCAGCACTGGCTCCTCACCACAGAGGCCAGGTCAGCAGGAGCGGAAGGAGGGGAGGGTCCTGGGCGCAGGGCAGGGGGAGCTGTGGACGAGGCAGAGATGAAACCTGGGCCAGGTAAGGGGCTCCTGGGCTTACACCCCAGGCCTGGGACCCAGCTGCTCGCTGCCACCTGAGATGCGGTACCCGAGCCCTAATGTGCAGACTGCACAGCCCACGCAGCGAAGCCATTAACGCCTTCCATTCACATTGGCAAACACTCCCTGTGAGGCGACTGTGATGCTGCTTCCCCGTCACACCTGTCAGACACACGCAGGGAAAATGGACATATTCCGCTCACGCTGGCAAACACTCCCTGAGAGACCATTGGGATACTGCTTCCCAGGCACACCTGTCAGACACACGCAGAGGAATCTAGCATTGGTTTTTCAACCACCTGCATCTCTGTTCACCCGTGGTCCTCGCTCTGAGGGTAGTGATGTGGCTACAGTCTTGGGGAGGCGTTTTCTAAATCAATGAAGAGACTACACACCAGAAGCTATAAACTTGACTGACGGGCTCAACTTGAGGTGAGACGGAACTCTCGAGAATGACAAGGAAATACCCCGTAGTTGCGAGCCGTGAGCGCCCATGAGCGAGGGAAGGCTGGGCAGGTGGCTGCTGTGTGCCCTGTACAGGATCCGGAAATGGAGCAGACTCCTACACAAGCAGAGATCCAAGGACAATAAAGCACTTGTATTCCCTCATGTGGTTTCCAAAACGGACGCGTTTATTTTTAGATGCAAATACATCCCCTTCAGCACATGCAATCGTTACACTTCCTGACGACGAAGCCAGCAGTGAGGACGGCCATCTCCTCGCCCACGCCGCCCTCAGGGCGCGCCCGGCGCTCACACCCAGCACAGGCGCGGGGGACGGGCATCAGCACAGCAAGGGGTCCCGTGCTTTCCGGTGGATGGAGATAAAACAAGGTAACCACTCCCGCGTCTTGTCCAACACAAATCTACAGCAACGAACCTCCATGGAGGGGGCGCGGACCTTCCTCCCGTCACTGCCCCCGGCGGCACAGAGGGCCGACCTGCGCCTGTTCTCAGGGAGCAGCGCCAGTGCAAGTCCGTGAGCACAGAGGTTCCGACTTACAGATAACCAAAGAGAAAAACAACGATCAAATCCTCAGTGCACTATTACTCTCCCTCCTAAGATGAGGAAATAAGTCTTTCATAGATAAAAAATACACTTCTATCAAACACACTGCGTGGGACAGCCTTAAAAATTTTAAACACTTAAAACAACATCAAGGGACACAAATCTCGGTAAGAGTGATCAACTCTGCAAACGAAAATAACTCCGGACCCGATCACGCTCACACTCAGACACGGGGTTTACGTCACAGCACAAGGAAGGTCATCCACTCTCAGGTGTGGCACGAGGTCACGTGACAAGCTCAGGGAAGATCATCCACTCTCATGCAGCCCGGGGGTCACGAAACAGCACAGGGAATGAACGCTGAGGTCACTTGATGCAAGTAGGATGCTGATCCTCCAATGACATCGACACTGGCTGGGAGCTTTGGGTCGCGTTGTAATAAATAGGTAATAAATATCTGCATGCACGGCGCACGGGAGCGCCTATCTCTCTCCGTTGGAGAGTCTGTCCCCAGAGTCACAGCGTGTGAGCGGCAGCCCCGGGGGCGGGGAGCCGGGGCTCTGCAGCAGGTGCGCCAGCAGCGCCACCTTGCCATCCACGTGCTCCTGCAGGGCGCGCAGCCGCTCGTCCAGGTAGTCCGTCAGCCTCCTCTCCATCAGCTCCAGGTTCTTACACAGAATCTTTTCCAAGTAGGAGCAGGCGGGCGGCTCTCCCATCCTAAAGGGAATTAAAGACCAAACATGACCCTGGCCTCCAAACGGCAACAAAAGCCACTAGACAACCAGCAGCAACACACAGCCTGCTGCTTCCCATGCAGCCCCTCACCCGCTCTGAGTCCGTAGGCAAAGACTTACCCACCACCAAGGCCGCCTTCGCTGGGCGTGGGGACGTGTCCCGGCCACGCGGCGCTCTGAGCCCCACGGAGCCGGCGCACCTGCCCGCACACGTCCTGGAGGAGGGGCAGCAGCTCGGGGGCAGGGGCCGCAGGCCTGTCGCTCGGCCTCTTTGGTAAGGAAGACGCCGCTGCGAGCTGAAGGTCCCTCCCGGGAAGAGGATGGCTCTGGGGTGCAGTGTCCCACTCTCCGAGGGGTGCGGGGTTCCCTCCCCCGGGGGGCCGTGCGTCCTCCTCCCCAGGAGCTGTCACGTCTTCTGTCCCGCGTCCCGGAGTCAGCCCGGCTCTGAGAGGCACAGGTGCGCAGGTCGGCCTGTCGCAGGTTCCCGAGGGCGCCGAGGCCCACAGGCCCAGCATCCGCCTGGAGGCAGCGCTCCCCAGAACCGCCTGCAGCTGCTCCCCCAGGGGAATGCAGCGCTGAGGGAACAGGGAACAGGGCTGTGACCAGCAATGACCAGAGGAAGTTTGCGGTAATTTAGAATCAGGCCCCGGGCATTCTCCACTGGGTCCCCGACACAGCCCTATGCAGGCAGCCACCATGACTGCCACCAGCAGCTGAGGGGACCAGGTTCAAGGTCACCCGGCCAAGGCCGCACAGCTGGTGAGTGGGAACCAGGACGCGACCCGGAGACCCGATTCCAGTCCGGGCTTGTCATCCCTTGACTGTGGTTCTTCCTCAAGAAAATGCTAAAACAAATACCAGCACACTTAGTACAACTGCACGGGCAGAGTTAATAGTTCCTTCCTGACTCATGGAAGTAAACGTGGGCTCTCCACCGAGGCACAGGAAGGCGTAGTGTCCACAGAATTAAGTATCACCTGTCACTTCCCACGTGGTCGCCAACCTGGGGATGTCCCAGCACCCACAGGCACGGAGACGCCCGGCTGGTGACACACTTCCCGCCTGTGCGGGGGGAAACGTGACGCCTGCGACGACTAGACATGCTCCATGACGAACAAGAGCTCCCTTTCAGCTCCGTCTGCCTCAGTCGTCTGTAGGCTAATAGATTATGTTTTGGGTCCTCAACTCAACTGAATATATTTTCTCCCAGCAAACGGGCCCGTCCCTCCGTCAGTAGCATGAAATGACAACTATACGCAGGCACTTTGATACAGATTCCCACCCCATCATCCCACATCGCTAACGCAAGCACAAAGCCTGCAATTCTGAACTTCAAGCACAAGAGATAAAAAGTAAACTTTCAAAAACCAGTAACCGCAGGCACCAGCAGAGCAGGGAGCGGCAGGGACCTCACAGCCCAGGCCCTCAGGACTGGCCCGCCCACGTTCACCCCGAAGGGCCTGAACAGCCTGCTCACACCACCCACAGAGCAGGAGGCCTGCTCACGGAACACCCTAGTTTACACGCAGTGAGGGGTGCCCCGGCTCACATGGCATTTTCCAGGAGTCATTCCGTAGGTGCTGTGCTAACACTGAGCACTCCCAGAGAACCAGCCCGTCCTGACTACAGCCGCCCCCAGGAGGACGTCTTTCATTGGCCTGTTTACAAGAAGCATCGGGGTCTCCTTTCTTCCCCCGGGGGCTCCCCACATGTCCCCACATGTAAGGAGTTAGCCCGGCGTGGGGAAAGCAGGTGACAATACACGTGCCAGGTGGGAGGAATTGTAAGCGGTCCACAGGCAGAGAACCCACCAGGAGGAGTCACCGCAGGTGGGGAAGAGGGTGCCGCAGGGGAGGGAGCACTTATTCACTCACTGTCCTTCTGAAAGGCCTGAATCCACGGCAAAGGAGCCACGTTACATTTGGAATTAAACCAACAAACAAACACCCCAAACCTTGACACACGGCCGAGAAATGCACTCTGCCGTCCTAGCCGCATCCTGCTCCTCTGGCTCTGGAGATTTAATTCACACCCTTTCCATCTGAACTTGACCCCCCATTCACCTGCCTGGCCCGCCTTCCTCCTGCGAAGGGGCCTGGAGAAGGGCTGCCCTTCCGCGAGCCTTTCCTCTTCCTCAGCTCCCGCCCTCGCACGGCCCCAGGGCCCCGGGACGCGGGAGACCCCTGAAGACAGGCTGCAGGGAACTGGCCTGGAGCGGCTGCAGGAGCCAAGCAGGGCCTCTGTCCCTGAGCAGCTGCGCCTCAACAGGAGCGACATCAGTGAGGGAGGGAGGGAGGGAGGGAGGGCGGGAAGGAGGGAGGGAAGGAGGGAGGGAGGGAGGGCGGGCGTTCCTGGAGAGCTGTGAGCTCTGCTTTTCCAGAGCCTAGATCTACACAGCGCTATTTTCCATCAGGAAGGAAAGATTGGTCACATCAATAATAAAAGTGCAAAGGAAAGTTTAAATCACTCCATCCTGTATAATAAAAGGCCAGCGACCGTCAATGCGTAACGACCAGAACGACCAACCGACCAGTCGCTATGAGGTGCACTGACCACCTCTCGGTCCCTCCCCCAAGCCCGCAGGCTCCGATTGCTGAATGGCCAACGGGGAACCACGGGGAACCGGGGTGGGTGGTGGCAGGGCGGGACTGGGGACAGGGGAGCGGGCGGAAGATGGCCCTGATCACAGGCTAGGCCTGGGGACTCTACCCGTGCATGATTTCGTGCACCGAGCCTCTAGGGTCCTTATAAAAAGCCACCATTTACCCAGTTCACAGGCGCCTGGAAAGAAAGCCCCTCCACGTACCTGCTGCTGGAATCTGACCATACTCATCAGCTGCTGAGCTCCAGGGGACAGCGTGGACCCCATGGCCTCCACCATGGCGTGGACCCTCTCGAGGTCCACCCTGGACCCCAGAGCAGGAGAGCTTGTGGGAGACTTTGCTGGGACGGGTTGCACGTGCACCACAACTTTACTGACGAACACACACGGCTTTTCACCAAAGGAGAGCAACTGGCATAAAACAGAAGTTAGGACAGTAACCATATGGAACAACAATCGCTACTTAAGGTCACTTCCTGCTGTGACCTAAGGAACAGTGAAGCAGTCAAGAGTCTAAAAGTTCACTTAGGTTTCGCTAGAATAGTTAGAGTCTAAAAACTACTCGGAACCATTTAAAGAAAAAATTTTAAACTACACAATCACATGTAAAAGAACATTTTACATACTTAGATGAGGAATCAAAGATAAACCATAGCAATCTGACGGCTTAACGTACTGCAAGTTGCTTTAATATGATTTAATACAGAGCAGGGCCGGCCAGAGCCCAGGCAGTGTTTGCTGAAATAGTAAATTTTGTCCAATGCTTCATGCTGCCCCATTTCGTCCACACTTTAAACCAAACCACGTTCCCTGTGGTCCGGACAACACAGCCGCTCAGTGGGAGGGAACAGGCTTTAGACTCAGACAGACAGGCACTCAGCAATGGCTCTGCTACTACCCTCCCTTGGTGTGTGCGTGTGTGTGTGTGTGTGTGTGTGTGCGCATGTGTGCGTGTGTGTGTGTGTGTGTGCAGTGATGGCTCTCCTACCCTGCGCGTGTGCGTGTGTGTGTGTGTGTGTCTGTGCAGTGATGGCTCTCCTACCCTGCGCGTGTGCGTGTGTGTGTGTGTGTGTCTGTGCAGTGATGGCTCTCCTACCCTGCGCGTGTGCGTGTGTGTGTGTGTGTGTCTGTGCAGTGATGGCTCCCCTACCCTGCGTGTGTGCGTGCGTGTGTGTGTGTGTCTGTGCAGTGATGGCTCCCCTACCCTGCGCGTGTGCGTGCGTGTGTGTGTGTGTCTGTGCAGTGATGGCTCTCCTACCCTGCGCGTGTGCGTGCGTGTGTGTGTGTGTCTGTGCAGTGATGGCTCTCCTACCCTGCGCGTGTGCGTGCGTGTGTGTGTGTGTCTGTGCAGTGATGGCTCCCCTACCCTGCGCGTGTGCGTGCGTGTGTGTGTGTGTGTCTGTGCAGTGATGGCTCTCCTACCCTGCGCGTGTGCGTGTGTGTGTGTGTGTGTCTGTGCAGTGATGGCTCTCCTACCCTGCGCGTGTGCGTGTGTGTGTGTGTGTGTCTGTGCAGTGATGGCTCCCCTACCCTGCGCGTGTGCGTGTGTGTGTGTGTGTGTCTGTGCAGTGATGGCTCTCCTACCCTGCGCGTGTGCGTGCGTGTGTGTGTGTGTCTGTGCAGTGATGGCTCCCCTACCCTGCGTGTGTGTGTGCGTGTGTGTGTGTGTGAGTGTGTGTGTTGGCGCGGGCGCGGGTGCACGCACACCTCAGGGCAGATGCCAAACCTGAGTCAGGAGCGAATCGGTATCACGTGGTTGCTGCGATGAGATCAGTGTTATACATGGTTGCTATGACGACAATCAGTGTTAAAATTTCCAGTATCTACCATTGAGAAAGTGCTCAGAAACATGCATTCCTACTATTTTTATTTAAGTTTAATATACAATTGACCCAGATGAAGCCCCACTCAAACCAAAGATTTCCCTGAATGAAACGCCCTTTGCAGTGCACGTCCCTCCACAGACCAGTTACAGAAACACCCACCTTCCGAGACACACCCCCCCCAGGGATCACACAGACCACAGCTGAAGACAGATCCCGGATCTAAAACCTCAGCGGCACCAACAACGTCACTGTCATCAACCATTAAGCCAACACGTCCCTTCACTCCCACACCCACATTCCAACCTCCACAGGATCCCTTTCCTGCTCCTTAATCCCTACGACTTTCTCACTATCAAACGGAACCTAGTTTGCACATTGAACCTACTATGTCTGGTCCGCTGTAATATTAACACGAGGGCTTTGTTCCGATTTATTTTATGATGCTAGTCAGCCGTGGGCCCGTTTCATTCATTTCCGGCCCGTTTGAAATGAATAAAACTAAAAAAAAAAAGACCATACCCTTTTATGTAATGATGTTTACTTTGAATTTATATTAGTTCACACAAACACTCCATCCATGCTTTTGTTCGGGCCCTCCGGTCCAGTTTAAGAACCCATTGTGGCCCTCGAGTCAAAAAGTTTGCCCACCCTGTGCTAGCTCCTAAGTGCCTAATACAGTATGTGGCACCAATGGGCACTCAACACTTTTTCAATGAATGCATCACCTTATGTAGAGGACTTTAGAAGCCATGAACATGAATATGCCTCTAAAACATCCTGGAATAACCAATCCTGTCATGTGTAAGGAACAGCAAGCACAGGGTTTCAGGGATGGAAACCACCCAAGGGTTTCTTTCCTTCAGCTCCCAGCACTGCCCACTAGGCTGGGGCTAAGCAGTGGGACATCAGCGACCAGCCCCCAGGACAGGCGGGGCCAGGGTTCCAGCTCGCTGCCCCGCCCCCAGGCTGACCACCTCACCCACCTTCACTGCGACACTGTTTCATGCTGAAGGCCCTGGCCTGGCCCGATCTCTTTAACTTTCAGGTGCCCTGGTCTGAAACTCCTCTACCTGGGTTTTTTCCTCGGTATTTTGGGCCCAACTCTGCTTGTGGTTTTCTTGGCACCTACGTTTTATATCAAAATAAACCTGATTTTTAACTGAGTTTTCCAAGCTGAAGAGCACAGCAGCATTAACTGTATTAACACTATACACGACATGGCGTTGCCGTAGCGAACAAACGGTCCAATTTGAAAGGGAGAGCATTGAGAATTACTAAGCCAACATAAAATAAATGTGCACAGTACAAAAACACTGCAATTTTCAACTTAGTTCCAATTTAGTAATGACTTACCTTTATTTTACAAGCACGTGCAGCGGACTCCAATTTTAGACATTTTTTGTACAAAATAATCTTTTCATGTTCACTAAAAATAAAAAATAAAAATTGACTTTATTTTCACACATTATCACTTTTAAAATTGATAAATTATTTTAAATGTTTAAAATTTATTTCCGAGAGAGGAAGGGAGGGGAGATAGAAACATCAATGATGAGAGAGAATCACTGATCGACTGCCTCCCGATTGCCCTCTAATGGCATCTCAGGCCTGTGCCGTGACCAGGAATCCAACCGTGACTGCCCAGCTTATGGGTGGACCGATGTTCAACCACTGGCCACACCGGCCGGGCACATTATCACCGTTAATGGCCACATTTGAAAACAAGGGTTTCCAGGCCAATGCTTGTCCTGAGGTTGTTTTCCCGGTGAGGGGAGAGGGGGGCTGGCTTCCTAGGAAAATGCAGGGAGGACAGACTACACCTCCCACTTAGCAGCTTATGAAAGAATTAAATTTGATAACAAATGTGTCATCTTGTAGCACATGCATATTTTGAAGCTCAATAAACACATCTACTACGTCTAACCTGCACGGTACATAAAACAGTTCCTGTTTTGAGTGACATAAAAGAGAGGTGAGGGCACGTTCTTTGTAAAAAATCAGAAAAAAATCAGAAAGCATGGCCGCGGGTTAAGTATGCTGGTTGGCAGTGCTGGGCTGCCCACTGTTTGGAAAGGGCTTCCTTCAAGAAGATATGTTCAAAGTCCCGGCTGATGGACAGATTACCGTTTGGAAAACAGACCCTGTGAGTTACACAGAGAAGCAGCCTCTCCCAGGCACTGGCTGGGACCCTGGCCAGCTCAGCGCCCGTCCACCAGCTGTCCGTTCCCAGCTGCTACCACACCAGGGCTGACCGGACTGTCCTGGGGTCCTCCCCCAAGGCCTGAACTCCCAGGGCTGCTGGTGTTCTCGCTCCTCCCCCTGGTGCCTGAGGCCAGTGTCAGAGAAGCAGCAGAGCTCCCAGAGCTGGGACACAGAAACCCTCCTCGAGAAGAAGCTGCACACGGGTGGGTCACAAACCTGGTATCCAGCACATTACCAACACTCCTGCCCCTACTGGTGCCACAGTACTCCTCTCCTAAGTACACTTCCATATTTCTTGCTGAACTTAAAATGCCAACAGAAACGACTCCTTCACCTCCACTGGGGTCACAGCGCAGGGAGAGGAAGCAGGGCTTTTCATCTGGGCTCTTCTGGCTCCTTTTCAGAATCACCAGGTCGCGGCTGCAGAGAAAGTGACAAATACCAGTGTTGGCCTCTGCACAGGCCGCCAACCCACCCGTAGGCCCCGGGGCTGGCATTTCATTCACTTCCGTTTGCCTTTGGGGTTCACACACCTTCCAACAGCCCACAACTGCTCAGCACAGACTCACAGAGAAATGGCCGCCGCAGCCCGGCCTGTGCCCTGGGCGGGTAGAGCATCAGCGCGGGACTGGAGGGTCGCGGGTCAAGGGCATGGACCTTGGTTGCAGGTTCCCCAGGCCTGGTCGGTGGGAACAGGAGGCAGCCAATCGGCGTGTTTCTCTGTGTCGCTCCCGCCCCGCCCCCCTCCATTCTCTCTCTAACAAAACAAAACAAAACACAAAACACGGGGGAAATGTCCCCTGAGGAATGGGTGTTGGGACGTCGGGTCCCTGCTTCCCCCGATCACGGGCATCTTGCTCGGCCCCCGGAATGGCCTCCTAATTAATGGGACGCTCAGGGCGCCGGCCTGTGCACAGGGGCGGGAGCAGAACGGACAGAGGACAGAGTCTGTTTCCAAAGGGGGAGGCCGACCCCGGGGAGACACTTCCCGCCTCCTGGGCCCAGGAGGGTCTGCTCGTTGGGGGACAGAGGCGGGTGCGGTTGGACTGGGCCTGTGGGGCTGACCCGCGGACACAGGGCGGGGGCGTCTCCGCGCCGAGTCCAGGCCCCGCGTCCCGCGTCCCGCGCCGCCCCTGGCGGTTCTGGCCCGGCTCCCCGCACAGCGCGCCCCCAGCTGGGCTCCCGGACCCCGGGCCCGGACGCTCTCCCCTCTCGGCCCCATTCCCCTCACACCTCCCCCCGGAGCGTGGCCGCCGCGGAGCCGCCACCCGTCCCCGCCGGCCCAGCGCACCCCGGGGCAGGCGGCGCCAGCAGCTCATCCCAGTCCGAGTCCTGGGCTCCGCGGACACGGAGGCTCCGGTCCAGGGCCCCGCACGCGGCATCCCAGGAAGAGGCCAGCGTCAGGTGCCTGGCGGATCGCTGGTCCTCAGTGTCGGTCTCCATTCGGCCACCGCCAGGCCAGGCCGGCCCGGAACGTCTCTTCCGGAGCTCGGGTTTCCGGCGGGGCGGAGGGGAGCGGATGATGCCCTCCAACTTCCGGCTCGGCCGGCCGCAAGCCTGGCAGCCGCGGCCTCAGGCTCCGCAGGGGCGAGAACTAGTCCCTGAGCAGCGCGTGCGCGTGCGCGTTCCGGATGCCCCCTCGCAGCTGATGGCGCAACTGACAGTTACTTGCCCGCCCACCTGTCAATCAGGGCCGGGAGGGGCCGCGGAGCCGGGCGGCCCGACGGTCAGTTCCGCGCCGGTTCCTTGACTCGCCGTCACTGAGCTCCCCGGGCCGCAGGGTGCAGTTTCTCGGGCGACTCTGTCGGGCGGGGACCAGGCCCCGAGGCCCGCAGGCGTCCCGCAGGGAGGACGACTAACCGAAGATCCCCCTCTCCGGCCCGTGAGATGCCCTGGCGTTGGGTGCCGCATCGCCGCGCCTCCCGTCGCGAAGGGCGTCCCGGGGCCGCAGGTCACCGCGGAGACCGCACGCCGACCGCCGACGCCTCGGGTCACTCGGGTTCAGACGCGCCTCTTCCCGCCCCGCGGCGCCGGGCGGAGCAGGAGCGCGGGCGGAAGGCGGCTCCGGACGCCACGCTGCCGGCGGCCCGCGGCCTCCCGGGGCGGCATGGAGGCCGGCGAGGACGCCCGGGCGGCGCGCGGCGAGGGCCCGCGGCCGCTGGCGCTCTGCGTGCTCTGCGGCCTGCCCGCCGCCGGCAAGTCCACCCTCGCGAGGGCCCTCGCCCACCGGCTGCGGCGGGAGCGGCGCTGGGCCGTCGGCGTCGTCGCCTACGATGACGTCATGCCGGACGCGTTCCTGTCGGAGGCGGACGCACTGCCATTGGTCAGTCCGCGCGGGGGCGGGGCCTCGGGGAAGCAGCAGCTGTGCTGCCTGCAGAACTCCCCGGGGTGGGAGGCGGAGCCCAGGGCGGGAGCGGTGCTGGGTCTGAGGGCTGGCCGGCTTAGCGTGGAGTGAGTGTACTGCGTTTAAGAATGATTCTCTGTGGACAGAGGCTTATGTGTCCGTGAGGGGCAGCTGTGTATTGTCCATCTTAGAGTAACTCGCTCTAGAGCAGTGGTTCTCAACCTTCCTCTCGCCGCGACCCTTTAATACAGCGCCTCATGGTGTGGTGACCCCCAACCATAACGTTATTTTCGTTGCTACTTCCTCACTGTAATGTTGCTACTGTTAGGAATCGTCATGTAAATATCTGATATGCAGGATGTATTTTCATTGTTGCAAATTGAACATAATGAAAGCGTAGTGATTCATCACAAAAACAATATGTAATTATAGATGTGTTTTCTGATGGCCTTAGGCGACCCCTGTGAAAGGGTCGTTCGACCCCCAGGGTGAGAACCGCTGCTCTAGAGGCTTAAGTGTACGTGTGGGGCAGGTGCGTGTGTATCCCCCACAGTGGGCTCCTCCGGGGTCAGGTTCTGAAGTCAGCGAGCAGGTGGACATCTCCAGGCCAAAGAGACTCTTGAAAATCCTTTGGGAACGGTGTTCTCTCAAAAATTCCACCACAGCCAGTTTAACATCCAGAGTGCAGGTTTGTGGGGCTTAAAGTGTATACATTTTGGGGAACCCTTTTTAAGAAAAAGGAATACAAGCCCGGCTGATGTAGCTCAGTGTCTGAACATTGACCTATGAACCAGGAGGTTCCATTCCCGGTCAGGGCACAGGCCCGGGTTTCGGGCTCAATCCCAAGTGTGGGGGGTGCAGGAGGCAGCCAATCAATGATTCTCTCTCATCATTGATGTTTCTCTCTCTCTCTCTCTCTCTCTCTCTCTCTCTCTCTCTCCCCCCCTTCCTCTCTGAAATCAATAAAAATATATTTTTAAAAGAAAAAAGAATACAAGGTAAGTAACAAAATTGCTAGGGTCCCTCCCAGGACGATAAAGAGGCTCCATCTTCATTCATTCTGGGTAAACCTGCCACTGCAGGCAAAGGGGAGGGTGGGGCCAAACGGACTAATGGCTTGTATTTAGGGACCGACTTGTATGTCCCAAGTACATACTTCTCTTTGAGCCCTCACATCACGCTCTCTGCAGTGAGATGCACCCTGGGAGAAGCATGTGAAAGCTGAGACCTCTGGGTAGAGTAGCTCAGGCTCACTCCAGAGCAAACACTCATTGGCTGAAATATTCTGAACACTTTAGGTAGTTATTTTTGTCCTTTATGCCTGAATGTAGATTGTTAATGTAGAAAAAAACAAAAACATTCAAACCTGTAAAGAATTTTTGTGTGTTTTTTCAAGCCAGACTGTTGACAATTGCCAGGAAGAACAATCTCAATGTATAGTGTTCTGGAGACCGGTGGTTTTTTCACCTATTTTTGTAAATTACCATCAAAGGAGGAGACCTAAGTGGGTTACATGATAGATGAGGGAGATGGGAGAAAGCAAGATGGGCTGGAACCTCTGGGATTGGGTAAAAAGTAAAATGATAGACATACGTCTTTTACACAGGTGGGTGCAGGATAGTTAACAGTCCAATTGACACCATAACAATAATGAGGGAATTTGTGGTCTCTGCCCGTTCCATTTGTTGTGCCCTGAGGGGTCCGGAAAAAAGGAAGTTACAAGTTACCTAGATATTTCACAGGTGTGTTATCTTAGATGCTCAGTAAAGATTGAAGTTGATCTTTGTCAGGGAAGATACTGGCCTAGAACTTGACTACCCACTATAAACTGCTTTTTCATGAAAAGGTTTTCATTTCAGACCGTCCTTCGTGGTTACTTTAGGTCTCTGAGTTTACAAGGCCGCCACGCAGGCGTTCCCTGAGTTAGTCAGGTGAGCACGTGGCCCCTTTTTGTCCAGAAGATGAATTCACGTAAATAAGATACAACTAGGATGTGATTCTATAACCGGACAGTCAGTGGCTGCCATTCTCCGGAGCACTATCCCAGTCCCTTGAGATTCTTCCTCCCGGCCATTGTCCACAGTTTGGCTCAAACTCACAGAAACCCCGCACAGCTGTGAATGTTTTTCCACTAACACCTCCATCTGCTTCCCTCTCTCCCGGTTGACCCAGGGCCTTAACAACCCCCTTTCTGTCCACACCTTCCCTTGTTTCCAAGGTAAACCAGCTCTAGCGTAGCCAGACTCAGTCTGTGGCAGGGCATTGATTTGGCTTCTTTCTCCTGGATGGTAGCAGCTTTCTGTCATTTATTCACTCTGTTACTGAAGATGCATTTCTGGAGCATCTACTGGTGCCAGGCCCTCTCCCGGAGGTGGGGGGTGCGGGGGCCTCGCAGGGACAGAGCTGTGCAAGCAAATGCCTCAGCAGCATGCACCCTGCTCCAGTGGAGCCCCAGTCTGCACAGGGCCAGGTCCCGCTGCCTCCTGCACAGCTGTCCGAGAGGATGCCCAGGGGCTCATGTCACCGAGGAGGAGTTTTACAGAAGGACATGGAGGCATGAGAAAATTACTTGTGCCCGGCCGGTGTTGCTCAGTGGTTGAGCGTTGACCTCTGAACCAGGAGGTCCCAGTTCAATTCCTGGTCAGGGCACATGCCTGGGTTTTGGGCTGGATCCCCAGTGGGAGGCAGCAGGAAGCAGGCGATCCATGGTTCTCCCATTATTGATGTTTCTGTCTCCCTCTCCCTTCCTCTGAGATCAATAAACACATATTTAATAAAAAGGAAAGGAAAGAAGTGCGTTCACGGCACACCCAGCGGTGGGGGGGCGCAGGCAGAATGACCCTGTGGGGCGGGTGGTGCCGAGGCGAGCGCACAGCCGTGGCAGCTGCGATTCTGGGTCTTTTGCAGCCGTCCCGCTGGAAGTCGCTGCGCCAGGAGCTGCTGAAGGACCTGGAATGCTTCCTGCGGGCCGTCCTGCACGGGGACCCGCTGTCGGCGCCGCCCGGTGGGACGGAGGCCCTGTGGGAGGCACTCGTCACCTGCCTGCGGGGCCAGGCCCTACTGCCTCCCGCCGCGGAGGGCCCATCCCACTGCCTCCCGACCCCCGCCGCGTCCGGGCCTTTGCTTCTGATTTTAGATGACAACTTCTATTACCGAAGCATGAGATACGAGGTCTACCAGCTGGCTCGCAAGTGTAAGTGAGGCATTTCCTTACACACACACACACACACACACACACACACATGCGTGCGCGCACACGCTCTCACGGGCACACACGCGCACGCACTCTCTCACACGCGCTCATTGATTTGCAAATCAGCATCGCGTGTTCGTGTTCAGTGAGACGCAGTTGGGTCGGAGGGCCCCAGGGAACTGAATTCCCAAAGCTGGATGCCCCCGCGCAGCGGTCCTTCACCAGTGGCTGCTTTGGGACGCGGGCGCCAGTGACTGTGGTTTCCCTTGTTCCCAGACTCGCTGGGGTTTTGCCAGCTCTTTCTAGACTGTCCTCTGGAGACCTGCGTGCAGAGGAATGGCCAGCGGCCAGGGGCGCTGCCCGCCGAGACCATCCGCCTGATGGGGGCGAAGATGGAGGAGCCCAACCCCGAGAAAAACGCCTGGGAGCACAACAGCCTGACGGTGCGGAGCCCCGCGAGCTCGGCCGCGGCCAGGTAGCTGCTCCCCGCTCCCGGGCAGCCCTGCTCGACACTTCTCCGCAGCCGCGGGCGGGTCCTCACCGCCTGGAGGCACAGGGTCCCCGGCCCCCGCCTCTGGTGGAGGTGTCTGTTACAGTGACGTGCGCGACCCCCTCTCCTCCAGCCCCGAGCTGATCTGCCTGCTGCTCGCTGCTCTGGAAAACCCCGTGAACTGTGTCGAGGACAACGCGGAGCAAAAGGTAAGTCTCCCCTCAGGGCCAGTGTGAGGGGGGCCAGCTTTTGTAGGACGGTCTTTTGGAGCCAAATTACAACGAGCCCCGGGGGAAGGGGCCCTGGGGGGGCCCGGTCTCCAGTTTTGGGAATCTAGCCTTTGTGTGGGTCACTGCGGGGCAGGGGTCGGGGGGCTGTTCACACAGACTGACAGGCACTGGGCGCCGGCCTCGTGTTTTCCCCGCGAGCCCATCAGTGGACACTCACCCGCACCCCTGCCCAGCGGATGGCTTCCGGCGGACGCATCTCACTCAGCCTCCCTCGGGGAGAAGGAGGAACAGACCGCTCCCGCCTCCAGGCAGCCAGGCCTTTCTGAACTACACCCGTCCTCACACAGTGTCTCCATCACATAGGAAACTGACAGAATTATTTGTTCAACCAACACGCTCCACCAAGCTGATCAGACGCTGCGAAGGATTGTCTCTGAGACAATGAAGGAAGCAAAAGGTATGTGGGTAGTTCTGTTCTGTGAACACGCGTGGTATCGTTACCCCCCAGGGAAATGCAAATCAAACACAGCAGGGCGCCCGCAGCCCCGGGACACGGAGCCAGCAGGGTCAGTGCTGCTGCGGGTGGCGAGGCGGGAGCCCCGTGGCTGCCGCAGGAATGGATGGGCAGTGCTACCAGGGGACCCGGCAGTGCCGCTCTTTTTAAAATTAACATATTTGTATTGATGTCAGAGAGGAGGGGAGAGGGAGAGAGAGAAACATCATGATGAGAGAGAATCATGGATCGGCTGCCTCCTGCAAGTCCCCCACTGGGGATCGAGCCCACAACCCGGGCCTGTGCCCTTGGCCGGAATCGAACCTGGGACCTTTCAGCTCGCAGGCGACACTCTATCCACTGAGCCAAACCAGCCAGGGCAGCAGTGCCAGGCTGAGGCACACACGTTCCCAGCAGCAGCATTCTAAGAGCCAGCGGGTGGAAGCAACCGAGATGTCCATCGGGACAACCACCGGTAGAAAATGCGGCATCACATACAGTGGGCCGTTCCCCATAGAAAGCAGTGAAGCGCTGATGCCCGCTCCCTGGGCGAACCACGAGCACATTGTACAGAAGGAGAGCGGCCCGAG